AAGGAAACACAGAAAACAAGTTATAAGGCATACAGAAAGTTCCTGAGTATACTTTACTCCGCTTCTTTAGTGTTATCTTACATAACCAACATATAAAATCAAAACCAATGAAATGACATTAGTACAATACTGTTAATAAAACTACACCCTTTACTGGGACTTCACTAGTTTATGCATGTACTTATTGGTGTATTTTATTTATTTTGGAGTGGAGTTCTAAGAAATTTTACATGTAGAGATGTAAAATTTACATGCAGAATTGTGACAACAGAAAAAAAACAATCCCTTACTGCCCCTTTATAGTCACACCCTTCCCCCAGCCTGCCCCATGGAAATCACTGAGCCTATCACTATTAACGTTTAAGCAATAGGTATGTTTCCTTTGAGACAGGCTTTTATTCACTCAGCAAATTGTTCTTAACACTCCTGAAGGTTGTTAGGTGTACACACATACAGTTTTATTTTTCGTTACTAAGTTAGTATTCTTTTCTGTGGATATACCATAGTTCATGCATTCACTGTTGATGGCCATTTGGGTTGTTCCCAGTGTTTTGTTGTTTAAATAAAGATGTTATAAACATTTGTGTGCCAAATTTTGTGTCAACATAAGTTTTCATTTCTCTGGGAAAGATACCTAGGAACGTGATTACTGGCTCATATGATAAGTTTGTGTTTAACTTTCTAAGAACTGCCAAACTGTTTCCCAGATTGGCTGTAGTAAAGTTGTATTTCTACCATCAATGTCTGTACACTCCATAGGTTTCATGTCTTTTTTAGCACTTGGCACTGTCAGCATATTTTAGCTTTCCTGTTAAGCTGTGGTGACTTAGATTTTCCTAATGGAAAATGATGTTCAACACCTCTCCATCCACTGAGAACTGTATTGGGTGAAGCTCTAATTTTTGCTTCTAAGCAGCAAACTATTTTAAAAACTCAATAGCTTATTCTATTTAATAACATATTTACCCTTTCTATTCCTTTTTCTGCATTTCTGATGTTACCTTTCCTCTTGTTACTTTGTATTTATCAGAACTTGCTTTAATCATTTTTCTTTGTGCTGGCAAAAGAAATTATTAATTTTCTGAGGAATAGGGTTGTTATCTTTTTTCTATCCAGAGTTATTTCCCTTCATCAAATAAGGGTAGTTAATCCAGTTTATAAATGGTGAGTCCTTTTTTGTTTTGTTCTTGTTGTTTGGTTTTAAAGACAGTTTGTTGCCCTCGGGTGAATGCTGTGGCGTCACAGCTCATATCAACCTCAAACTCTTGGGCTCAAGCAATCGTCTTGCCTCAACCTCCTGAGTAGCTGG